TCTTATATCTTGGCTCAGGTTCACTACCAACTAGATAAAATTTTCTCATGATTGACGTTTCCATTACATGCTGTACAGACTGTCAGCATCTATTATTTTTATATTTGGTTATTTCTAACCAGAGGTAGTAATGAACGGGATAATAATGGACTTTTCTTGTTCTCTCGAAGCTGATTTTTATAGAATGCTCACCAATCTTCTAGGGAATCCTAACTATCGTCATCCTAATCCAAATTAATAGAAGACACATCCTCCCTATCAAATACCAAGCCTATATTATTTTTTCAATTTGTTAATCTGTTCTCAGCCAAATATCTGGAGTTGCTTTTTCTAAAGCTTTTTCTGCTGAAGTACCATCCTTTCCCATATTATTGCTATAATCATTTTTAGTGATGCCCCAAATATTTTCAATAGAGTTGAATATACAATGGTAAGGCGGTAGTCGAAGTACATATTTTTCTGCTAACATATCAGCTTCTGATGGTTTATTCCTACAAATGATTAAGTTTTAAAACATTTTTTTTTTATTTTTGAGCACTTGTTATCATTGATACGTCAGTAAATTATTTAATAACAGCTATAAAATGTTTAAGAAAAGTAGTTTTCCTGTTGTTCAATTTCTTTTTGAACTTTATTAATTTGATGTTTTAAAATCTAATATGGATTAGTTTAGTATTAAAATAATACATTTAGACATTTTACATTAACTTACACTTGTACCACAAATAATTGTGTTTTGACCAAAGTTGTTTAAATATATATAAAGGGTGTCTCAATAAGAATGGGACTCTGAACAACTGAAGAGTATCTGATTAAAAATAGGATGAATAAACTAAACATGCTTAGATAGAATGTTACTGGTTTATGAAACAAATTAATAATGATTAATAAATTAAAGTTTTTGGTGTCATAAGATACACTAACAAGCAAAACAATCAGTTAAATAAACTTTGAAAGCTTATATCAAAGAAGGGAAGATATAATTTGGTTATACATAAAACCTAGTAATAATGTTGTTTTGGTCCTTATTGTACCTTCTGAATCGGCACAAAATTATTAAAACTACATGACAAAATAACCCACTTTCTTGAAAACTAAATAACTTTAACAAGCAATATAGACACACTACAAGTTGTTGAGAATAAATTAATATGATTTTCTATTTGTCAATAAAACGAATAAAGTTATGCATATGCAACTAACAATACAAGAAATTAATATTGGTTGCCTAGATGCTAGTAATTTTTTACCAAAACACAATTTTATAAATAATCTAATCAAAATCAGAAAAAATATTGTATGTAACACATTTCGAAATGCCGTTTTATGTAATTCGTTCATGTTGCGGGACCCCGTCCTGCTCGTCCTGCAAATATTCACTTATTACCTAAAATAAGGCATTTCGTAACTGGTTGCATCAATAGCTATTATAGTTGTAAATCATGTAACCTCATTTTTATTAAAGTAACTGTAACTGGAACAAGCAAAACCAGTATTTTTGTTCACAAATAAATACTGATACACAGTGTTGTCATATTATCTAAAAAACTGCAATCAACCTTTTAAATATGAGATCTGACAGCATTTTAGTTCCAGTTTTTCACAGGAGTGTCAATTACTGGTAAAAGAAGTGTCAATAACTGGAACACATTTTTTATGCAGTTACGAAACCTACAACAAATTATGCATATACTATTTGTTTTTTTAAATTTTAAGTAAAAAATGTTCTCTTTTTTAGTATGTGTCAATAATTGGTTTGCCAATTACTGGTATATGAAAAAAAAATCAAATGTCAGTGGTTCTTTACTTCAGGAAAAAATATTAGAACTGTAAAGTTATTAAATATGCTGTAAAACAGTTTCACCTAGTTTACAATGAATTCTACTGATATAAATATATGTTACTGTGATTTAAGCTCTAAATTAATGGTATTACGTGGATTCCTGGAATCGACTAGTTGCAAATAGGTTTAGGAGTAGTTTGACCTGTTCACTGGCCAAACATCTACTTTAAGGCCGACATTTCAGTGTATTTTACATGATCAAATGCTATTTTATCCCAAACTTAACTTTTACTGGATATAATGTAGTGAAACTTTGGCAGCTTATAGTAAAATATTTATTAATTGAAATGAAATGAGACAATTTCATTTTTAAACCCTTACAGCTTAATGTCGTCTGTATGTAGTAGAATGAGGAGCCGGAAAACTGCAGATTGCGAGCCGCATGCGGCTCTTTGGCCGCTTGAGTATGGCTCTTTCTTTGAAAGATCAGTGGATTCCTAATTTTTATTTCATGGTAGCCGTTACGTCTCATCTAAATCAGCTTAATCGTAAACAACAGGGGAAAGGAATTATTATTTTTTCGATGTTAGAAGAGGTTATTTCATTCGAAAACAAATGATCTTTTTTCTACAAGAAATTTACTATTTCAAAACGACACTTTTAAATGTGAGGAAAGGTTTACTAAACAGGTTTCAGGAATTCAGAAACAGCAAACCGATGTTAGCCTTTGTTAACAAACCTCTTAATGCTACAGTAGAGCAGGGACAGAAGTTGGAAAGGATTTTTGTAGGTGGAGAGATGGTAAACGTCAAACTCCGTCGGATGACTTCGAGAATTTCTTGAAGTGACGTGGACGTTCGGAACAAGGAAAAAAGTGTGGTGATTGAGAGGTTAGGTTTCAATACATATTAACTGTCTAAAAAATTATTGAAAACAAACAATAATTATAACTGTATTCTAATGAATTATGTCAACCAACTATTAATAATTGCAAAAACACTTTAACATGAAAGTTAATCAATTAATAAGATATTTAAAATTTTAAGGATCAACATGACATTTTTAATAATATTACTGTGTATACCGAAGTAGTATTTAATATTAAAAAATCTGATGTGTCCAACAGATGACTTTCCTATCTAGTTATTACAGGCTTTTTCCGGTTATTTTGTACAACCTGTTGCAGCACCTCCATAAATGTTTAGAGGATAAACTAAATATATACATTTTCCACATACATCTACCTCGAAACATTTTTCTATAGATATTAATTGAAAACTAAAATACTGAAAAATTTAAATTTAGCACTTTTTCTACAATTTTTCCATTACGGTCCATTTTAGAAAAATCATGTATAAACAAAAATTATACAGATCGATATCGCAAAACAACTTTTATTTCAACAATTTTCATAAAAATCAGAATTTTGCACATTTTGTCAAATTTCTCGAATACGGACCATTTCAGGAAATTTTGACATAAAGCAAAAATTATAGATAATATATTAGAAGTAAGTTTTATTTGAACAATTTTTTTCTCCAAACAAATAACAGATATATTCCATAAAATATAAAAACGGCCTCCCATAAAGTACCCCCCAGATGTTCCGACTTTGTCCAAAATCTAATCATTTCACGTCAGGCCGAAATAAAACTTAAGTTTAAAATTTAATGTTTTTTTCTTTATCCGTTTTTGAGTTTTCTTCAAATTTCGAAATTTACACATTTTCTCAAATATCTCGAATATTTTAGAATATTTTAGAGAAATTATGTATAGGATAAAAATTATAGAGAATTATATTACAAACAACTTTTTTTTTGAACAATTTTTATAAAAAAAATATTTTTTTACATTTTGTCAAATTTCTCGAATACAGACCATTTTAGGAAAATTTTGTATAAAACAAAAATTTTAGATAATATAAGAAGTAACTTTTATTTGAAGAATTTTCTTCCCCAAACGTAAATAACAGATATATTCCATAAAATATAAAAATGACCAACTATAAAGTACCCCCCAGATGTTCCGACTCTGCCCAAAATATAATCAGCTCATTGGACGCTGGAACAAACCTTAAGTTTAAAATTTGGTGTTTTTCTATGTATCGGTTCATGAGTTATGCGACACACAGACAGCATCGCGAAAATAGTCAAAATGGATGCAGGGGACCTCAAAACGTAAAAATCCGTCGAAAACTCGAGGTCGAAAAAAATCATGATTCCTATACTTTTTTATATCTGTATACAGATAGGAAAGTAAAAATATTGTGTAATACCAGACAAGAATTTTCTTCTGTTGAACCACTTTCTCCATGAAAATGTAGTGAACAAATATAAGTATCTTTAGTAACATCATCCATCAATCGATTGAAAACCTTTGTCACTTCGACCACATTTTCTCTCATAATGCTCATTTTGAACATGTTTTAATATGTGTTTTGCCTAATGATTTGATAGTTTTTTTACGATATTGCAGGCAGTCTTTTTGTAAAATAATAATTTATACCGTATGTCACTTTTACATACTCGTAACAATACCGTTTAGTTTTTCCTTTCCGTGAAGATAACAATTAATTGATTGCAAAAATTGATTTTTTAATTAAGACACTTATTACTTTACTTTTTTATCCCATTTTTTAAACGAATACACTTAAAATTAATATTTATCGATTATAATTTTTTTTCACGTGGACATTTTAACATGCTTGCTTACAAAAAACAGTACGAAAAAGATGGCTGATATTGACGCATGCGCACAAAAAAAAATTGTGATGAAAAGGGCTATTGTACTGTTTGACTGTAGTAGGTGACTAAGCATATACTGTATTGCATTTTTTCACTTGATGAGAAAACCGTACCTTGTGCTATTGAGGAGTTTAATTCTAGATAGAATCATAATGGACTAAGGCTATCTCCTTGGATAATGCCTCTTTTGATGGGGATAAGCTAAGACTATATAGTACAGTCTCTGGGGAAAGATATTAATAATAGTTATTTTATATTTTATTCTGTGTCATTGGCATCAACTGCTATGATTATTAGCATCGTGAACGGTGTATGCTTTGTTACTGTTTCCCAGCGCCACTTTAGGAACCACTGTTCATTAGAACCCAACAGTGAATGGTTGAATTCATTAAATTAAATAAAAATCCTGTCGCTGACTTCTGACCACCTCACCCCTCCTGTTATTATTAATTATTATTTTTATATTATTATAGTTGATGAGGAAAATGAAGATAGGCATGAGGAAAGCGATAATTGCGATAAAGGTAAGTCAACAGGTATGAATGATACAAACAATGAACAAACTTCAAATAACATTGAACCTGACAATGAATATAATGAAAATGTACAATCTAAGGAGACTCAAAATGATGAGAGTCATGAGATCTTAGAAGAGAATAGTGAATCTAATGAGGTAAAAACAACAGAAGTAAACGAGTTGAAATGTAATGAAGACAATCCGGATAACTCAGCTGGTCAAACCAACGGTGACATAAAAAATAAAGAAGAAAGGTCCACTACCCCGGAGCCAAAAACTACGAATGATGTAAAACCTGAAAGACAGCGTATCATTTTAAAAAGATCTCCAATTGATAAATATCAAAGGCCGCCCTCACCTTTGGAGGATGGGGAAATTCAAGAACCCAAAGAAAAGTCCAGAAAAATTACTTTGAAAAGACGAACTACTGAAGAAAGTAATCCAGAGTTTGACAAAATAATTATTAATAGAAGATCTTCAGCTGGAGATGACAATTCTGATAGACGGAAGAGATTGAGCAGTGCCACAGAGGAAAATATACTCACTGTAGTAGGTAAGAAAATTCATATTTTTCTATTAACACTTTTAAGGTGGATTAACATGTCCCCTCTGTTTATATTACAAGATGGTCGATTTATTCCGAAACCATATTTTTGAGGCATTAATTCGATATATAAGTTTAAATTAGTTTATTTACGTCTCTTCGATATTGTTGGGTGTCGTTTACCATTTAAATCTTAATTAAAAAAAAAAACTCGAGAAATAAGAGCTACCTTCAAACCCTGTTAAATCCAGTTAAACTCTTGGCCTCATTTTTCATTTAATATATTTGACAGTTTTCTGATAAATTTCTTTATTTTCCATAACAACTTTTATTTTTCTTCCCAACCGTTTTTAAATAGGAAGACAAGCAAAAAAAAATTACAAGAAAATGACCAACAACCATAATAATAACATAAACACAAATCCCCTAAAATTTAAAATTAAAGGAGCACGCACATGAAATAGAATGAGGATTCTTCCATTTCGTGTGTCGATTCCTTCTCTATCCAATTGTAGGTGAAATATCTTAATTCACCTCTCTAGATGAATCTTTTAAACATTAATTAATTATTGTTTATTACTATGCTTTTATTTATTTGTTTATTTATTGTTTATAATTTTATTATTATTTGACTGTATATAAGGTGTGTATGTTTTAATGGGCTCTGACCCACCTATAATTAAAAAAAGCTTATCTAATGAGTGTTTTCAACCATTACAAAACCATTCTTAAAATGAATAATCCATTTTTGGAAAAACGTTCAATATTTGCTTGTTTTTAGGTAAACCAAATAAACCATCACAGATGGTAAAACTAGTAAGAGATTTTACCCAGGAACATTCTGAAGATTCCGAAGCCCTTCATCGTGTTCGTAAAAATGTTTGGGGCAAGTCCGAATTTTTAGATAAACTTTCTTCAAATACATACAAAATAGATATAAATTCTATCAAAGTAGTTTGTCCAACTGTAGAATTTCTTAAGGAATCAGAGGTCAACCTTAAAGAGTTCTATGAAGAACCAGTGCATGTAGACAGTGAGATGGGAAAGAAAATGAAAGAGGAAGAGGAGAAATCGGAGGAAGAATCGGAAAAGGAACCAAGTGAAGAGGTAATTTTTTTAATATGTTATGCATGCAAAGTTCCTCCCCTTGTGTATTCTATTAACGCTTACACGTAAATTAAATAGGATACTTAACACTGAGACAAACTTTTCTTCTGGCAATTGGTGAAATGACCATCAAATGTGGCGGTTACTATTTTTTTAATGAGATCATATAGCGAGTGACACCTCTTTTGACAGGTATGTCATAGACCTATTCAACCATAATAATTTCGTTTTAATTACTTTAAAATTTGTTTTAAAGTACCACTTCGATATTATCTTCGATCGTTATTCCAAATTTTATTTATGTGTAACCATTCAAAAGATTAGATGGCAGGAAGGGACTTTGGATGAACCTATAAATAGTAATGAAATACAGTCAGTGGGGTCTATTTTGTAACGATTCTTTTATATAAATCATATAGGTTATTCAACTGCTCAAATGTGGCCATTTTCATAAACCAAAATAAAAATCTCGGGTGTCATACACAATACATTAAAGCAATACTAAATTAGACTTAATAATAATAAAAAAACCATTTCAGTTTTATCCATCCAACAAATATTGCTTAACCTTGCTTTTAAAAGTAGGTATTGGTGTTAAGTTTTTTATAGTCTGGGAGGCTATTGAATTCCTGTAGGCCTTTGAAAAATATAGAGTTTTGAGAGCTTCTTTTTTCCACTGGAGGTATAAAAAATGTATGTTAAGAGCACTGATCTGTATTATTTTAGTGGATAGGATATAGGCTATATTTGACATACTAAAAATTCGTTCCACCAAGGAGACCGGAAGTGCAACAGTGCTGGCCGATTTGGGCAAATTATGGTGGGATAATTTGACATACCTAACCTATAATTTGATTAGTTCTAATTATTCTTCTTCTAGTCCTTTTGCGGGCAATGTCGTTCGGGACAATTCGCCCATAATTTGATTTTTTATTAAAGAAAATATGAAAATGAAAACATTGTGTCTTCACAAATGAACGTTTATTGTTTATATCATAATGCTATCTGATACTACCTACGTAAATAGCAGATAAAGGACTGGTTCTAAAGTACCTATGGTGGAAAGGAAAATTCTTAAAACTGCATTAGGGATTTTTTATAACCTATGGGGACTACAACTACAGATATTGGTAATAGAAATAAGAGCCTCAAGCTAGAACTACATACCTAGATGGTCAAATCACTTTAGGGAACAAGTATGAAACGAGAATCGGTGAATTTGTCATTGTTACAAAAGAATCAGGAAGAAGAGGGATATAAATATGGTTAAGAGATATAGGGTCTATTCTGTAACAATTCCTTTATATTTAACGGCCTTTAAAAATATTGGCGGCCTATAAAAATATGTTCGTATTCGTTAATTTACTTCTATCATTATTTAAACAGATTTCTTTAAGATACTCCTCTAATGTATTTTAAAGATCCGTTTAAATAGTGACCGAATTAAAGAAGAAAATATTTTTAAAGGCCGTTAAATATAAAGGAATTTTTACAGAATAGACCCCATAGAAGGAGATCTAAACAATACCTGTGAAAATGTTTAACTGATAGAACAATATGGATATACATGCAACTAAAGTGATTAGAATTTTTTCGGTCACACGATTTATATTTAGAATTTTGCAAGATAATGTAGGTAGGTAGTTAGTTTATAATTGCAAAGTTAATTTTAACAATATATATGTTGAAATATAGGAAAGCTAACAAAAAGTTTTGTTGTATTTCTAATCATTTTTACGCTATACAAACCACATTGAAATTTGTGCAACTCATAAATATATATATATTCAAAAATTGTTTTAAAAAAATCTACTTTTAACAATCGTACGATTCAAGGAAAATTATACTGCAATTATGCAAATATTGATTTTTATATATTTTAATTGAAATAAAATAAATCATGAGAAAAGGTGAAAAAATAAACATTTTTATTTCTTGCAATATTTTTATTAATGTAAAAAAGATATAAAGTAATATTTTTAAATGAATTACCAAAAGATGTGCAAATTAATTTGCCTTTCATTCCTTTAAGTTCTACATGATTAATACAGAAGTGCCTAAAAACTCAGCTTTGACCTCACTCTGTGGGAAAGTCCTCAGCCCCAAACCTGACTAATCTAATATATTCCAGTGACCTCAGCAATAGGTATATAATTGCTACTCAACAAAAATACCGATCATAACTTGCATGCGCTTATGAAGAAACAGTATATTCGATCAAAACTTTTTTTAACTAATTGGTTACACAATCTTTCAAGACCAGAGACGGGTAGTGGGAATATGCCCTCGAAATATTTCCCATCGGTTTTGGGAAAACATTCCCTCTAAATATTCCTCATCAGTTTTGGAGACCATTCCTGCACTTACATTAAAATTGTGCATATCCATACTTATCAACCATTTCCCCAAAAATTCTGTAGAAAACCTTAAATAACAAGCACATTATATAATTTAGTAATAATCTTTATAATTCTCTTCAATTTTCTCATTTAATCTAAAAATGTTTATTTTATTTGTATTCTTGTATGCTTGTATAATAATGTGTAAATTAGTAATTGTTTCAGTTTTAGGGTTTGAAACCTTGGATATTGGTATAATTGTGGAAACTTTAATATCTTGCACTACTTTACCTATCTCTAATGAGCTATTAATAATATTAATTAGAGGATAAGCAATGCTGTTAAATGTATTTTTTACCATGTTCAAGCTAATGTCGTCTGCACTACTTTTATTTGGTAATGAAGAAAAAACAAATCTTTTGAGAGAATTATAATCAATTAACCGAAAGTTAGAAAACCATGGAATTAACTTATTTTTAATATTTATAGGAAATTTTAGGCCACTCTGATCAATATTATCAATTATTGCACCGATACTACTAATGAAAAATGTGTTCAATTGACTTGGCATTTCCTTAATTTTGTCAACCATTTTTTGATTATCTATCTCAATTTCTAAAAAAATCTTCATGCAAAGAATTATTTGGCACTAAAGTTTTTAATACTTTCCACATTTCAACGTCATTGCCATTGTTATGATCAATTTTACTTTCATAATATTTTCTTTTTTCAGTTCTTAAGACTCCTACAGCAATGTTTCTTTTTTATTTATAGGCTTCCCAGTTTTTATTATTTCTATTTTGAACCAATTATCTCAGTCCAACAGAGCATTTTTTATAATATCATTCCACCACTCTTTATAAATTGGAAATATGTTAACCATTTTTTTAGGAGTAATTTCAATTATTATTAGTGAAATGCCGATATTTTAATTATAATAACGCCCTCTACTCTGAATAATTACAGGTTATAATTTACTTTTTAAATCTATCACAATTTGTAATTACTATGCCAATAAGACTACCTCCATTATTTGTTGGATGATTATAGTCAGTTACAATATTTTCGAAACCAATATCAATCATAAAATTTTTTAAACACACACTGTAAGTAAAATTAAAACATCTGTATTAAAATCCCCACTTAAAATTACGTTAAGACTAGTATCACATATAGGGGCAGCTCGTGACCAAAATTTTGGGAGTTCACAGTAGCAGAATATAGATCCCGGTACAGATATAGGTAAAAAACTGTCAGTGTTTTAGAAAGGTATATTATAAACTTTCTAAAACACTGAAAGTTTTTTCATACATCTGTACTGATACCTATATTCTGTCACTGTGAATCTCCCCATGAATCGTCACTGATCACATATCACAAAAAATTTAAAAACTCAATGTAACTGCTAAGTTCTTGGTACTGATTATTTTCCTCTTCTAATATTCTTATTGCATTGACCATATTTCTGCCCACACTATCCAAATCTTTAAATTCTTGTTCCAAACATTTTAATTTGTTTTTAATCATTAATTCAGTTTCATGAGATAACATCCTTACTTGGGTTTCAATGATTTCTTTATTCAGCATTTTTATGGTGTCACTCTGTTCTTTAATTTTTTGATAACCTTTTTCTCCATTTCCATCGCTTCATCTTCAAAATCTTGTGTTTTTCTATGTATTCTTTCAATATGTCTATTTTGTCTTGTATTGTTTCTTTTAGTTAATTAATATATAATTGTAGGTGTTCAATTTCAATTTTGAAATTTAACTTTCTGCTTACTGAGAAAAAATGTAATGAAAAAAATAATTGATTTATTTTGACTCATTTCAATTGTTTTATGATTTGAAACTAGTCAAATATTTTGCCAATTTATATTATTTGATTTTATTTTTGCATTTAATTCAAACATGAAATAAAATGCAATTTATTTTGTATTTAAAAATTTTCATTACAGTAAATACCGCATCACATAATTGTCTATTTTAATACTCAGACAAATGTGCATGTACACCATTTATATAATTAAATATTTATAAAACAAACATCAAAAATGTTTCCTGTAACAAAATCAGCATGTATAGTGCCCAAGACCTTTATATGAGTTTTGTGACTTATAGTGACAAATAAGTTAGACAAAATTGAAGCCAATGCATCGTCCTTCTGGTTTCTTACTGTTAAGGTGAATTTGTGTGGATAAAATTTGTTATATGCTTATCGAGTCCACTTGTCAGGTTGAAGACCATTTCTTCATCAGATAATGTTTTTATCGATTTATTTGTGCATCATTTGTAGTTTTTCAAATTCTCATTCATCCTCTGGGCATTGTGAAATGAATCTAGCTTTCGAACTTAAACTGAAACATATGTTTGGATCGTTGAAGATTTTGGAGTACATTTTTCTTGTTTGATGTCAATGGCACGGAATCAATTTTAGATGTTCATGATCGAGGCTCACAGATATTAGAGATGTACAGGGTATTTAGGAGGGCCAACATTTACAATAAGAATGATCATTAAAAACTGAAAACAAAAATAAATTAAAATAACAAATATCATTTTAACTCTGAATCAAAAACAAGTTTGTAAATATTACTTACCATTGGCGCAAAACAGTGTAAATAATTGCATTTTTCTTAGACGCTAGTTACTAATTTTTTGGTTATCCTTAAAATGGCTGCATATTCAGTAAGATGTATAAATTACATCACTACCAATATCTGTGAGTGCTTTATTGTTCATTGCTGAAACCTATCTTTCTATCTTTTGAAAAGATGGCTAAATTTTGAAGGTAGTGAAAATATATCTAGAGCCAGGTACACCAGCCATTTTAAATTTGTGAAGTTTGAAGTTTTGCACGAGGTGACAACTGACTCTTGTCAAAACTGCCAGTTTGATACGAGCGCCATCCCGTTAATTGGAGTGGTACTACCTTCCTATTTTTATCCATTTGAATTACCAGCCCCTGCCTAGGTCTGAGCCAAAGATATCGGATAGAATAGATATGCCTTGTATACATTGAATTTGTCCCCAACATCTTTCCGACAGTACGCTCTTCTTATGTTGTCAGATCACTTCCATCAAATGGACTACCTGCATATTTCCTTAAGAGATGTGCATATACATTAAGGCTGTTCTACCGCTTTCTGTTCGGTCGAAGTTGAGAGGTACCTCATCCATTTCATAGAATATCTCTGTACCCAACTCTCTTTGTTTATGTAAAGACAGTTGTATGTGTAATAATTCTATCTTTCTCCGTTCAGTCTAATGGGGCCGCCTATCTTTATCAAAAATTTTTTAGTCCTGGACTTACTATTTTGTTTTTTGAACTGTTTTTTTTTTCACGAGATCAGGCAAATTTGTGTAATAATTCTTGAGAAGATGGTTTATGCATTCTACTTTGTGGACCATTGTTCTTCCGTAGGGTCTCTCTAAGCAAATTTTTTACTAAACACTGCTGTCTCCATCACCAATAATTTTTACATATTTTAATTTGTGCATTTTTATACTATTACGGAATCTTTCTAAAATTAGTTCCAATTCCATAGAAGTCGACGAACCATCAAACTTTTTTGAACATTTATGAGTTGCTGCTTTTATTTTTTTAGTTAAAGCTCGAGCACAGATAGAACAATACTTACTTTTAAACATACAAAACTTTTCCAGTTTTCACCCCAATAATGCAAACCTGTAAAAAATAAGTGCATTTAAAAATAAACCCTTTATATGTTATGTCAAATATAAAAATGTTTCTAAAGTAGACCATGGAAAAACATAAGGCTGATGATGAAGTGACAGCTTCGAAACCGGTCGCCAATTAAATTGACTTGTGAGAAATAAAGGACCTTTTCTTTAACCCCTTACACTTAAAAAAATATGAAACTTTTGAAACAAATTATGTAAGTGGATATTTAATTTATTCTCAAATGCTAATAAGAAACACACAAAAGTGAGTAGTCATTTATTGTTTCTTCCTTTTTTATACTTTTCGCGCATGTGTATAACACTTTTCAATTGCTGTCCACAGACTTGTCAGTCAGACATATTTATGGACTTTTCCGAGTCACCTATCGCTATAAATATTAATACAATTAGCTTTCAAACAAAGTGTCAAACCTTACAATACGTAACAGTGTCTTATTCCACTAGAGGGCGCTATAATCAAAATTAACGCAATGACTAGTCATATTGCTGAATTTCCCATACAATTTTCGTTTCAATGGTGTGCGATACTTTGAACATTCCCTATTTAAATTGTATTTTTTTGATTGACGGAGGGAGGGAATGACATGACAGTTATGAAATATTTTTTATGGCAGTTCCATATTCGAATATATTTATATATATCACCCTGTATATTCTCGTCTCATATTTAATTTATCCCAAATATATTGTTCACTGGTAGCCTATATTTAAATCGGGGTTTCAGGAAGTTTCTTCTGATGAGCAAAAAATAGAAGCCAATCCTAATATAATTGCTCTAAACAGAAAAATCAGCATAGTGGAAGATACTGCGGCAAATATGAAGCCACCTCCTAGCCCAGCGAAACATCCTGTCTCTGAAATATTATATATTACTAATTTGGTTAGACCATTCACAGTAAAACAGCTTAGGGAGTTATTAGAACGTACTGGAAAAATTAAGGAAGATGGTTTCTGGACTGATAGGATAAAGTCAAAATGTTATGCTGTTTATGAAAATCTCGAGTAAGTATATATTCAAATCCAATACTAAACAATTTAGTATACTCCATACTATAAAAGTGTGACGTAATTTTGATTCCACTAACAGTTATTATTTGGCATATGTTTTCACTGTTTTTATTTATTTTTTATTAAATATTGTTTGCAAGTCATAAAAAGTAGTTTAAAGTTATGTAATTGGTTACCAAATGATTATATACTTAATTCATGTTATCTACTTACTCTAGAAATATATTTGATGAAGGTAAGGGATAATTATTAAGTCCAATAAAAGTAATTAAACCATTAAAACTGTTTATTTATCAGTATTACACTGTTCTCTATTTTATGATTGCTTGCTATGGGGTCGAGCTAAGACTGCTGCTTTTCTCCGCTGCTCTCCAACGCCCTCTGTTCTTTCCTCCTGATTTTCCATAAGTATTGACAATTGACAGTGACGCGTGGTTAATAATGTTGGGACACAAGGGAGGTACTAACATATTTATAAAAATTCAAAAACAATATAATTTAGGTAAAAAAAAAGAACAAAACGCACTAAAAAAAATACTGTAATTGTTAGTGGAACCAAATTTGCGTCATTACTAATTTAGCGTATTTATAACATTTTCCAATATATTTTTTATTCATTATTATACAGGGTGAGTCGGGAGGAGCGCACCAAACTCTAGGAGTATATTATACATGTGAAAATAATGTAAAAAAACTCATATGTTCTTATACGATTTTCATTTGTTTTCAAATTATAGCATATTAACAAATAAACAAATTTACACATAAAAATTCTCTTAATCATAGCGTTCTTTCAATAAATGTTCAAAAATACCGCCATTGAACATATGGCATACTTTGATAATGTTAAAATTCAGAATTGGAAAGCTAGATGAACATTTTTAATTATGCCATAACTTGAAAACAAATGAAAATCGGATAAGAACATATGAGTTTTTTTACATTATTTTCACGTGTATAATATACTCCTAGAGTTTGGTGCGCTCCTCCCAACTCACCCTGTATAGTAATCTAAAGTTTTAAAAAACTTAAGATCCATCATTCACTTTAATAAATTTAATAATTCTAAAAAGATAATGTATTAAATAAAATGTACTAAAAATTTGTTATTAAGGCATTATACATTTTTAATCAATATTATTATCATCATCATCATCATCATCATCATTATTATTATTATTATTATTATTTTATTTTATTATTATTATTAATTATTAATTATTATTATTATTATTATTATTATTATTATTATTTATTATTATTATTATTATTATGGTGTGATTACTAAAAACGTTTTTTCTGTAAATTTAGAGAGGCAGAAGCAACAAGAAATGCTTTACATGGTGTATATTGGCCAATCGGAAATGGGAAACAATTGCTCATTGATTATGCAACGAAAGAAGAAATGGAAGGGGCGAGAAACCCTGTGTCCTTACCAGCTACACTTATTCAGAAATTACCCGACATAGAAAATAAGGTATGTAAAATATTTTGAAATATTTTATTTAATTTGGATTAAGTTATGTATGCTTTTAAAGTAATAATACTAATATGTACTTAGTATAATTTCAATTATGTTCATATTGAAAGTGATTGTCAATAACAATTCCCTTTTTAGCATATTTTTTTTTTTTTATAAAAGTCATGGATTGTAAGAATTTTAATCGAAAATACTAAAATGTAATTAACTAAATTTACTAAACTAAGGAATAAACAAAGTAATACAAAATATACATGTAGTAATAGGAAATCAAAAATAATTGATGTCACCATATATTTAAAAAACGAAAAGTGCGCAAGGTAACTTGAAATAAATTACAATAAGTAAAATAGCAAACAAGATTCTATTTTTTTTATCAATTACTAAGGCTTCCAAAATAAACTCGAATATCTGATATGTTCCGGGGACTTACTATTATTACTCATTTCTCTTAAGATTTCATGCAAAAAGTCGTACGTCAACATGGAAACAGTATTTTGAAAGCCAATGACTACTTACTGAATATTTCTCTCGGATTATTACGAGAGAATTAACTCTTATGATAATTTGGCTGTGATTAACCAATAAGGACCCACAAATAACTCTTTCACTAAGGTGTTTTAAAATAGGAATTAAGAAGAATACATAATATGGATTCGGATATTAATTTCTCTTGATAGAGCACTCCTTTCTCCCGAGTTTGAAAATATTCCCCAAAATAAACTTTCATTTTTTTAATGTAATAAATAGATAGATTTATTTAATGATTAGGAACCCCTAATATACATACAAAATATAAATTACAAAGCATAAAAAAAAAACATAAATTGCTAAAATTATTCTATAACTAAATGGCAGGTATTATTTAAGGTAGTTCACTTGTAGAACGGCTTTTCTTAAGAATTCAATAAAATTGAAATATAAGGTTAATGAAAGTGTCTTTTATGTAAATAAAAAAAATATATCTCGAAAACTGTTCTTACCATATTTTTTAAAAACTAGTGTAATGTAAATCAAGAAGGTATAAAAATTTTTAAAGAAACGCTGAATTTTTTGACCTTCTTAGTAAAAAGATAGATTTTTAAAATAAAAATATTTTTAAAGCAATCGACGCGTAGTTGGTAAAATTATTACAACTTGGCAACGTTGTATACGCTGCAATCAACGCGTTGTACCAAACTAACACTCGATCAGCTAAGAGGATGTTATAACCTCGCGACGTTTACTTGAAAAATTAATTCGTCCACTGTATTTGAGAACTGGAATCAGCGGTTCTGTTTGGACCAAAACAAACCCTTAAAATTAATATGAGGAAGTCACAAATTTCTATAGCAAACCATTCATGTATTTTTGAGGTTGCCGGATGGATTTTAAAATCCATATATATAAGATGATATAAGCTTACATGTGTTTTGTACAGTCTCCTACAAAAATAAAGTTGATTAGCATTGAGAATCTCGAACTATTGGTATTCACCATTAAGCGATATTTTTATGTACGACTGTCGCGAGTGAACTGCCTTAAATAGGAATTAAAAATTTTAAATACAAAAATTACATATAAACAAAAAAAATACAACACAACAAAACTATTGTTATCGGCCACCTCTATCTGATAATTTGATGTTTTAAAAACATTGAGAAATTTTGATTTTTTACATTTGTGGGTAAGTTGTTAAAAATCTAATACAAAAAAATTTAAAAAATAACGAATTCATAGATTTTTATAAATAATAAATTGAATTGATTTAATTTATTATTTATTTCGAAAGTGTGTTCTCAGGAAGATTAGGCGTTATATTTTTTACAAAATTTGCAATTTGATTTGAATTGGGTAAAAGCTCCAATTCCTTGCTTAGGACTGTATTTGTGTTAGAAAGTTCTTTGAATAGAAATTTAAATTTAACTGCTGCAGTAAAAAGATTAGCATCCCTCCTACATATTGCTTATACAGTCAATTGAACTCTGGTTCTAAACAATTAATAATATTTTCTAATTGGTTACATTCTTGCTCTGTTATGATAGTAGTACTACTTTTTACATCTACTAAAGCTTTCTGGATGCAATTTTTCACATTAATAAAGCGTTTCAACATTAGTACCAGACTATTCCATCTCGTTTTGCAGTTTAATAAAAGTGAAAGTTCCTTCTTGTGCTTCTCTTTCACATAGCTCTGCAAAGTATTTTTAACAGGAGAGCGTCTAAACAACTTGGCCGTTTTTCGAATTTTCTCAATTAAAATCTTGATATCATGATTATTTGTCAAATCCAGATTGTCTCCTTCAGTTGGCTCCTTAATTAACTCTAAAGATCCATCTTCTTCGTAGTCTTCATCCTCAGCATTGTGGTATTCTGTGTCTGCACACAAATTCAAGTCATCATTGCCGTTTTTGTCATCTTCCTCTCTGTGCGTTTTTCTTGTGTACAATACATCCATTACAGCTAAATGAATGGCATGAGGGAAGCATAGTTGATGTTGTGGTTTTCCAAATTTTGTCATAACCCTGGCAACATCTGTGGTTACACCAATGACATCACAATCCAAAGAAAGATTAAATTTTTGTAATCTATTGTTAAGAAATTCAACACAATCTGCAGACATTGAACCATAAATTCTTATTAAACCGATATTCCAAAATTTAACGTTTCCTTCTACATCATGTCCATGTACATTTACATTCATGTACCTTTTATTGGCTGTAGATGTCCATTCATCGAGGGTTAAACTCGGAAATTTGTATTTTTTCCTAAATACTTCAAGATGTTGCGTGTAATAATTTATAATTTTTTTGTGGTACGATAAAACTCTGTTGCAAATTGATGTTACAGAGGTTGGCAAATTTTCGTATCCTCTTGCTTGGAGAGCCTTTCGCAAATCCACGGAAGTGATAAAGACTCTAAAAGCTAATCCATCAAGGGCAGTCATTCTTGCAAATACAGCATCCAAAGAATTATCTTCAAATGAGATGAAATAATCAGTTACTTTAATCTGTTTTCGTGGCGAAACAGATGCTGATGATTCTGCTTTTGACTCAGTCTTGTCATCATCTGGTGTTGTGTCCTTATGTTAACCTAGCCCTTTTGACTGACCCGGTCTAATCTGCCGCAAGTGGACTGAATTGTAATGGACATGTAATCCTTTGGTAGAACCCCCTTTTATTGATATAATTTTTTTGCGGCTTTTGCATTTCGCAGTTTATCTTTTAATATTAAAAAAATGAGACCTCACTGATGCCTTTTCATCATTCTTCTTGGAGTGAACTATATATTCGTTACCATCTGCATCTGCCATTTTGAACGAGTTAAACCATATAGCAAAGCGATTTAAGTTAACCTAGAAGTTTTAATAATTCGTTCATTACATAAAAATCTTACAACAGTATGTTAGTAATTTATTATTTCAAAATGCACCGATCTAGTCGTGTTTTATATTGTCCTCAATAATAAAATTACTGTAAAATAGTATAAACAGGTTAATTAAATAAAACATAGAACAAACCACCCTCAACAAGACAGAAACGCAATAACTGAATGCTTGCTTGTGTAGTCAGTCAGTCAGTGCGTGTTACTACTCTTCGATGTACGGCGCACGTGTACGTTAGCAATCGAATCAAGTCAGGACTAGAGATTTCCCTTGAACATGCCTAAATTAAAAAAAAAAAAAAAAAAAAAAAAAAAAAAAAAAAAAAAAAAAAAAAAAAAAAAAAAATGGTGTGGCACTCGGGGACTGCCGCGGTAAAACTATTGCATAGCATTTTTTATCAATTATAATTATTTATTTATTTATGCAGTATTTTTTTTTTCTTTGATATTGATATTAATTCAAGTTTTTTCTTTGAATTTAATTCAAGTTACACTTTTTGAGCGCGGTGACCGATAAGAAAACATTTTTTTTCTTTTATTGAATAAATGAGAAGTTAATATTGTTTAAAATATTTTTATTATCTTACAATACATTATTATTCAGGAATTTTTATCATTGAAACTATAGGTTTATGGTAACTGAAATAATAAACATAAGTTTGAGACTTGATATCCTCTAAATATCTGGAAAATACCGCGTCAATGATGGTCCCATATTTTGTTGTGGATCATTATTCATTTTTAAATACAATTTTTCCGAAATTGTGCCTAAAAGAGATAGAATCAGTTATGAGCAGTTAGCAGCTAGTCTACACGCATACGTCTAGTCGCACGCACACAAACACCTTGCCGAAGTCTGCCGAACTGAAACGACGTTAGACGATGCACGGCTTTCAACGCCGCACCGCTGTGCCGGTCGGAGTGGGGGGTGTTAGGTTTATTTTCGTTACGGAATTTCTTTTTCGATTTTTAGACTATTCGATTTTTCGATTTTCTTTTATTGAATAAATGAGAAGTTAATATTGTTTAACACCGCACCGCTGTGCCGGTCGGAGTGGAAGGTGTTAGATTTTTTTTCGTTACGGTTTCGTTTTTTTTTTTTTTTTTATTCGGTCGCCGCGATAAAAGCTATGCAATAGCTTGAAAATCGGGATTTTCAGGCCTATTTTGAAAATCCCGGGATTTCAGGACCTGATATTTTAACTCATCAATCCCGGGATTTCGGGATTGGATACACTAGAGATATCTGATCACCATAACGAACTCGTTGTTTTGCAAGTAATCACAAAGCCAGTCAAGCACATTACGCTCTATACCATATTGTTTCAATTTAATTAATAGTATCTATCTATCTGAATTAGGGTGTGCTTGAAAGCCCACTCGTACTGAAGCTCTAGGCTTATTGTAACCCTCACAATTTCTACACCATCAGATTAATATTCTTGATGAATTTAAGAATATGTATGGGCGCTTTCGCAATTTCTTCAGGTTCTGGATATTTTACCCAAGGTGCCATTCCCGTTCCCATTTAAGGTTCCGACAATGGCATAGTATGTGAATAGGTGTTTCGTCCTCCTCTTCACATATTCTACAAAGGGTGTCATCAGATATCCCTAAGAGACTTAGGTGTCTTCTAAGGCAGCAATGTTCCGTAAAGAGACCTATTACGACCGTTAGTTCGCTTCTGCTGAGGTTTAGCAGTTGATTTTGTCTGCTCTTGGATGGACCCTCCAAGCACATTTTGGACTGTCGTAAGTCCAGGAAGTTCCAACCAGAGCCTATATTGTTCTCTATTTATCTGTTCCGTTAGCACCCATCTAACATGTTAATAGGAAATACCACATGTGGGTTCTGATCCAATTAGAGTTTTTTCAGCTCCCTTCCTAGCTAGGAGGTCTGCTTTCTCGTTTCCAATCACTCCCTCATGTCCCAGCACCCATTCAAGAGTGACCTTGTTATGTTCTGCCAGGGCCTGGAGGGACTGTAGGCAATCAAATATTAATTTAGATTGTACTTCTACCCATTTCAGTGCTTTAAGGACTGGCTGACAGTCTGTCATAATAAATGCTTTTTTTTTATCTCTAAAAAAGTAATTCAGCATAACTTTGGCGCAGGGATTTATTGCCGTTACGTCAACCAGGCTAATGGTCCTCCCTGAGTTCACATGGTAAATCCTAGCTCGTGGGCTGTTTTTCATCTTCGAACCGTCTATACCACATTGATTCGTTTTGTAATTCCTTATTTTCCCGACTTCTGGCCCTTTCTGGTATTTGAATATCGAAAGGTTTCCTAAAGTCATGAATAATAGGTGTTCTATCCGATGGCATTCTTAACACCAGATCAATTTCTCTAATATTGTATGATGTCATTTTGGATTTTGCAAGTAATCACAAAGCCAGGGGCTGTTTTTCATCTTCGAACCCTCTATACCATATTGTTTCAGTTTAATTATCTATATATCAATAGTCTCAAATGCTCTTCATATAAGTCAAGAAACACACCAACAATGTTACCCTTAACATTACACCAAGAATAACTATTATCAATATTCCCAACACTATTAAGAAAATATTAAAAGCAAATAATATTTCAGTGGTGTTTATTACTGTCCTACCTTCATTATTTCTAAAACTTACAATATTCAGTTTGTTGTGGATATTGCCATTAACTATCTTTAAGATTTCTTCTATAGTTATATGAAATTCATATTGTTCTTTTTAAGCTATTGCATAGCTTTTATCACGGGCTTTGAGCGCGGCGACCAAATCAAGTAATTCCGTAACGCGTAACGAAAAAAAACCTAACACCCCCACTCCGACCGGCACAGCGGTGGGCGTTAAACAATATTTATTCAATAAAAGAAAATCGAAAATTCGAAAAACCGAAAAATGGAAAATCGAAAAACAGAAAAACCGAAAAATCAAAAAATCAAAAATCGAAAAATTTCGTTTCAGTTCGGCAGACTTTGGCACGGTGTTTGTGTGCATGCGACTAGACGTATGCGTGTAGACTAGCTGCTAACTGCTCATAACTGATTCTATCTCTTTTAGACACAATTTCGGAAAAATTGAATTTGAAAATAAATAATGATCCACAAGAATCCACAACAAAATATGGGACCACCATTGACGCAGTATTTTCCAGATATTTAGAGGATATCAAGTCTCAAACTTATGTTTCTTATTTCAGTTACCATAAACCTATAGTTTCAATGATAAAAACTCCTGAATAACCTACATGTATTGTAAGATAATAAAAATATTTTTTCTACGTTCATGCAAAAAACCAAACTATTGCACTCATCTGTCATTTTACTACAGTGTTTTATGATCATGATAAATATTCAAATCAACGCCAAATATTTAGTCCATTTTCATTTTCTATGTTACGTTTTAAAAACAATTGCATATTTTATATTATTTTCAATCATTTAATAAATTAATTAATAAAAAAATGTATTTTATTAAAAATGTCATTACAAATTATGAACACAAACGTAAATAAATGCCTCAAACAAAGGTATTTTTTTTTTGTTTTGGTAAATTTTCGACACTTATGTTTTTTAAAAATTTTCTATGTAAGTTTTTCATTACCATTACATTTTTTAAAACCTCTCATTTTATTGTATACTTCATAGACAAACCAAGGCAGTTAAGACTTACAGTGACATACTTAAGTAGGAGCTACTTTGTTAATTATGGTTTCACACTTTTTTTTTAATTTCATCATAGACTAACATTAACTGATTTTAAATTCAAATCAAGGGTTATTATGCTAGTTTTAATAATATCCTTGGTCTAAACTGTAAGGTAAAAAATATTTTTAATTTTGTCACAGTAGCTTCAGATTAAAATCGCCAATAAGTATACACGAAAATTTTGTTTAGAATAAAACACATATTTCTTCAAAGCCATGTAAAAATCAGCATGAAAACTTGATGGTGAATGGTAAAAACTTCCAACTACATAAGTGGCTGACACAAAATTAATCTTTACAACTTATAGTTATTGCTTAATTGAAAAGTTAAAAATGTTAAAATTATATTTGTTTTTGATATAAATTACCACTCCTCCAGTGTGTATGATCATGGAGTCACAACTTACATGGTTATAGTTTTCAAGATCAATTTCACTATCGTCAATATCCGCCGTTGTTCGGGTAGCAGAATTATTTTAGGATTGTAACATGCTATACTTTCTTGAATCTGTTCTTTACAATACTTTGTGAATTCAGGTAAATTGTGTCATTATCAAAGAGAATATTAGGGTTTACAGTAAGCTTTTTGCTCTTGCTTCTTAACATTTGTAGGCTTCTTATTTATAAATTTTCTTGTTATTGTCACCATTGTCATTTAATTTTTGGAGTTCACCCTTAATATGATTAAAATACTCCCTCTTTTGTTTGGTCTGATCACTGTAATTCTCTTCTCTAACATCGGATGGCAAAGTTTATAATACCTTTTTTGCTGATAGGTGTCTCTTATGACACCAAAAATGTTAGAGAAATAAAAAAGTATTTCGGAAATGAGTATTATTTTATTTTTATGATTCGTTTAATCGCCTTATTTTTAATCGGATAAATTTCAGTGGTTCTGTGTCCCATTCCTAATGATAATAGTATGTTACATAAACAATTAATAATTTATAATAGTTGTAAAACACATCGCCCGTCTCTTGACTTCTGTGCGGTTTGGTGCTTGGGTACTTATATTTTTTTGTTTTCATTTGCCCAATATTAATAGAAATTCCAGATAATGATCTGATTCTGTATTTAAGTCGACAATCTCACATTTGCTAAAATTTGTATATTTCGGTATGTAGAAATTGATCTTGTTGTAATACATTTTTGGAAATAATTCCAAAAATGACATTGTTGTGTCGCCTGCATCAGGATATTAAACCTTTTGCATGCTACACTCGGTCATAATTCCAGGAATGTATTTTCATGTGTTCACATGCCGCTGGCTTTGGATTAAAAGATCGATGATAGAAAAATAAACACTTCAGCAGTAACACGGTTTATTTTCATTAAGAACACCACACTACAGTATTCATTAATTATTTACAATATTTACATATATCTTAGAACATTTATAAGTTGTTTGAACGCCATCGAAGCGTTAGGTGAAGACCGATAAACTATGTGTCTTTTATAAAGGTTGAAACAAGTCTGAGTTACTACGTGCAGTGGTCCAAAAATCGTTACGGCTCGCGCATTCATTTCGCGCATACATATTACCAACTGTCTCTCTTTTGTTTAATCGTTATTATCGATTTTGAATTCGTGCATTACTATTGGATAATAACCGCGTTAATTATTTTTATTTTATTAGATTTGCTAACCTTGCCCTGAATTGATTCTTAAGTAAATTCAAATTCAATAGGGGCGGCCTTGAATCACTGTCCCGATTCTGATACTTGTTAATGGTATTTTTAACAGACACCCAGAAACTTTTAATTCAAATAATATAACAAACACAAAGAGTATGGCAGAAAAAAATTTAAAAACGTATTAAAAATTAATTTTCAGTGTGATGGCTGAGACTTGGTATTTGGAACATTAATTCTAAAGAACTTTTTTTCAATTTACAATAAAAAGTTTCCCATTGTGCATACCATATTATAATTAGTATTATTGCATGATAAAATTAGTGATTTTTCAAAATTAGAGTCTGTTTAATTTGTTAATAATTTTATCAGTAATTCATAATTTTATTGATTAAATTTTTTAAGGAACCTAACTTGGCAGATGGTAGGCATAGGGAAAAGGAATGGAACAGGGATGTCGATAAGACAGAAAAGCGACGGGATATGTCCACTCGCGATTGGGACAAGGGTAAAGAGGAACATCGCAGAAGGCATTCACGAAGTAGAAGTAGAGAAAGAGAGAGGAAAAATAGTCGTCGATCGTACACACCAGCAGGTAATTCACTAGCTTTTTGTGTTTATATTTTCATAAAAGAAAGAAAGAAGTGAATATTTTTGTTTGTTTTCAGATCACAACAGGAAAAAGTTAAAAGTTACAGACGACTCGGTTCCCCAAAAATTAATGGATGATCTGTTTTTGAAAACAAAAGCGATGCCGAGCATATATTGGCAGCCCCTTTCTCCACAAGAGGTATTTAAGTTTATTTTGAAATGACTTTATTGAAGTAAGACATCCCAAAATACAATAACATTTTTAAAGTATTTCTCATAGTAAAAAAATCTTGATAAACAAATGTTCTAGCAACACAATATATATTTACCTAGTAGAGGGTTGATTAGGAATGAAATGAAAGACGTAGGTGAAGGAAATATATATCAATATATTTTCCGGTTATTTTACAATGTCAAGAGCTCTTTTGATATTAAGCCATCATCAGGACACTAAAAGGTTTAACAGTTTAAAAGACAGAACAATAAAAAATATAATTGCAAACTTGCTTGTCAAAAGAAACAACAGTAAATTTTACTGTTCCTTTTAAAATTATAAATCTTTTATAGTGACCCGGTGATGGCTTAATGCTGATAACCTTTGACTAATTGTAAAATAACTGTCAAATATTCTGATATATTTTTCTTCACTACACACTTTAAATACCTAGGTTTTTCATCTAATTCCTTAACATATTTATACTTAAATAAAACAACAAAAACAAAGGAAAAAACATTAGAGTTACAAATAATCGCATACCTTCACATTTCATTATCTGTATATATAGGTGTTTTTATTTAGTACTTATTATGTTAATCCTTATTTTTACTCTCGTAAACTTTTTGAGTGAGCGATCAACATTTTTACACTACTAATTTATTAAAGTGATTTAATCATTTGTAAAATATTGAGTTTGTGTCTGTACATAATTTACACTTTTAATATAAAGTTATTGCAAGATTTAGAACCTGTTTCAAGAACGGTCCTGAAATATTTATCGATGCACTGTTAAATTTTATTCCAGCTCTAGAATGTGATCTTTAAATGACATGATCTGAGCTTCAAATTACGGTTTAATACGTTCCTGTCAAAGTTTAACACAGCATCGATATTTAACAAACGTTCTTGCACCTGGCTGCTAGTATTGAATGTATGTTTTTCATGATATAAGCAATAAATTAATTGAAATAAGTATGCGATTTTTGTTTTATTATTTTGTAGATAACCATATCATTAAAAAAGTAGTTTATTCAGACAAGGGTAACAAATAGCTTTGTTCTGTAAGTTTTGTGACTGTAACTCAAAATAGTCTAACTTTTTTAATCTATTGGTCTGTGTCTTTATTATGTACTTCAGTAAGCTTAAAACTTAGAGTTGCATCTTCTCCTTTCTTTTCTGATGTTCAAACTTTGGAAGAATGCACTACACATGCACACTTTGCTCTACTTTTATACAATTACACATTACTAATTCAAATGGTTTGGTCATTTTGAACCTTCTTATTAGGTACTGGTTGTCCAGGAACTGTAGAATTTTAATATTGACATGGTCATGCAGACTTTTTTTATGTTTTTGCAATGTTTTTCGTCTCTTCTTTGACTTTGGTATTCTCAGATCTCTGTGAAGGTCTGAGTTCCTTACATACCAAGGGACGTTTACTATTGCCCTTAATATTTTGTTTTGCTAGCACCCCCAGATCTCTATGCCGTAATTCCATACTGGCTTCAGTTGTTTATATATTAAAAGTTTATTTTCGATTGAAAGTTTTGTCTATTCATCATCCAATATAATTTTCTATATTTAACACCCAACTCATTCCCTTTTTTCTTTATGCGTTCTTTCCACTTTAATTTTATATCTAGGTTCATGTCTCATTAAGTCTTTAGGCGAATTAGATTAATGGCTTCTAGTATTGTTTAAACTATAGCTGAACGAAAGTCTTGTTCAATCTTGCGTCATATACTTGATGCTTTCCCTATTTAAATTGTATTGTTGTAGAGTAACAGAGGGGGAGGGTAATGACGTATGATAGTTAAGAATATGATAGAAATGAACGGGTCCGAGTGTGTGCCTAAAATGTTGGTACACTTTCTCCATAATGGCTTTGGTACGTTTTCGTCGGACTACTCTGTATTTAATAATGCTTGACTACAGCTAACAGGGTGTTTCATAAGTATCGTCGCAAGTACATTCTTGTTCCTAGATGATGTAGCCATAAATATCCATTAATTTGTGTATTGTGAATAAAAATTAAGCAATTATTTTTATCAAATAGTGCTTATTTTCCAATGAACAAAATTTTTAGCTAGAATTGGGAAATAAAAATTATATGATAGAGCTGCTGAGAACATTAAGCAAGGGCCAGAGATTTTGATTATTGAAAAATAAGCACTTTTTTATTTAGTATAGTGAATTAAGTTTACTATTCAATTAATTAACAAATTTACTTCTACGCATTTTAAAGGCCAATTCTTTGACATTAGATCAAAATTAATATTTGAAATACTCTATATATACAGACAATGAAATAATCAGATATTCTATTATTTATGAACCATTGTAAGAACATTCTCAGTATTTGTTACAGTACAGAGTGTGAACATCTTACACTGACTTTTATTGGGAGATACACAAATGTGAAGTAAACCTAAATCAAATAGAGGTATAAAATTAGTTTATCCATACCTATACTCAAACAAAATATTGGAGAAGGTGACTCATCCCTGTTCACGTACAATCATCGTACTATACCAGAGCATAATGAATGGAATCACGCGCTTAAAACTGCAAAAGTTATCGGTATCACGTGCCAATTAGTCATAAATGCATGTTTATTGCCAAAATGTATTGTATTACGCCAGTGGCGTATAAAAACTATTGGCAAATTAAATGAATCCATTACTATTGTAACAGTATAATTCTACTATTAAATTGTTTTTATTAAATTTATAAAGACACAAATATTTTCTATTTAATAAACTTTTAAAATACCTACCTAATATACTACACAATAAATATAACTCCTCGAATATGCACTATCACTACCAAATTGTAAGGCACAAACATGAACACCTACTCATATATCAGGAAAGAGCACTTGTACAAAAGTGTTTATAAAATATAAAATAATTATCGTAAATAGTTAAAACGATACAAATCTAACTTCGTCGAAAGTTAGTTGTCAACTGTCTTTGTGCCTGTGCTGACAATATTCAATCTGTAACCCGTCTGTCGTTTATTTACTTGAAACACATTCATTTGTCATCGCCTCCAAATATTAGGGTATCAACTTACAAAATTTTACTCTATATTTAACGCATCATCTTTGTTTAAATAAAGATGTTGACAAACAAATTTAATAAAGTTTACTAACAAATACCTAATAAATAATTATTTGGTATTTGATACGCCGCCTATGTTACTTTCCGTCGGAATTTTGATTCATAGACAACAGTGTTGATCATGCATATGACTCACCTTCTCCAATATTTTGTTCTAGTATAGATATTTACTGATGTTCATGTTTGTACAGCTTGCGTTGGCCCAAATGTGAACTCTCTGGTTGTCATGGGATTTTTACTGAAATTCATTCCTGTAAATCTATCTTTGGACGATGTTACAAAGAGAGTGGGAATACCGAGAACAAAATATACAGGGTGTTTCAAAAAAGGTGACCCTGATGCTAGGTTGGGCAAAGTTCTGAAAATTAAGTGAGGTTAATATAATAAAAAATTGTAACTGCATCCGTATTCAAGATACAGGGTGTTGAAATTTCAAGTTTTTTTGTTTTCTTTATAGATTCTGCAGCTTTTGAGATATTTAGCTCAAATTTGGAATCTTTTTTTCGTCGTTGGTAGAATATAAAATACAAAATGAATTTTCTCTTTTCTGTAGAAACTTTTTATAATCGCTATTGAGAAAAAAATAAACCGATTATCTGTAATTCACTAAATGAAAGTAAAATTTTGAAATGGTCTAGTGGACTCTGGCTTTATTGGAAATAGATTCTTGTTTTAATTAATTTTGACAGTATTCATTTGATTTCAACACTATGTATCTCGTATCACTATGTATGCCGTTACGACCTTTTTTTTTACAAAATTAATCCCACTTATTTTTCAGTACTCTACCTAACCTAGCAGCGAAGCCACCTTTTTTTGAAAAACCCTGTATATCACATTTATTAGTGGCGTTTTGTCGAATCGGTCTTCTACTTTAAATGTGCAATAAAAAATGCAAAGATAAAATAATAAAAACTATTTATTACAACATTAAATTAACATTTAGACATATATAAAACTACAAAAACCATTTATTGCAAGAGAAAATCAAGGCTGTAACAAAATTGGACGAAAATTGGTCTTTAAGTGAAATGAGTGCTGAATTAAATGTAAGTAAAAGTTGCATATTTTACATTAAGAAACGCTGGCAAGAACAATAAAGATTGTGAAGACCTTTCAGACAAGGTGTAGGGAAGATCTCTAATACGAATGAAGACAATGCTCTCCTCGAAATTTAACAGTAACAGCTATAAGAAGAATAGTGTTATTAATATTTTATGTTAGATCCATTGGCTGCCACAACAATTTCCTATCTTGTTGGCAGGGACAAAATTAAATGTCAAATGTCGTAGGAATCTATAAGCTCTTCCCATGTAGTACAGACAATATGGATCTTAGGCTAGAACAAATTAGAGACGAGCTATTTTTTGTTTTAATGTTTAGGAAAACGCCTCCTGATTAACATACTAAAACTCGCATATGATCCCACTATGGCAAATAATAGAAAATTATCCTTATCTTGTTTTTCATTTTTATAGAATAACTTTTTATCAAAAATGAGTACATACCTAATTTTTAGAGCTCAAAGAGACGCATCTTTTTGTAAAAAAAAAACATTGTAGATTTAAAAATAAAGAAGTTACAGATTTTTAAAATAATGATACGTTACGAATCTTGTTCCTATAGATAATTAATTATATTACTGTTTAATATAAATGTAAACTACTACATAAATAAATCAATTTTCATTTAATATTCTTTTGCCTACAGATTGTGCTTCATCACAATTTTATGGTATAATGTGCCAGAACTTGAGAATATAGAGATATAAACTACCTACACTTAAAAATATTGTAAATTTCTAATCATTCTAAAAACTTGTTGATGTCTTCTTCATCGCGTTGTTGTCGAGAATGTTGG